ATTTGACTCATGCTTTATGCCCTTGTGCTATATCTTCATCTCCAGCCTTTGTCACCTTTTTTTTACTTATCTTAACTGTTACAAATGGACCACAATTCTATTAATATGAGCCTTTGTTAAATGAATGTAATACACGATCGATTGATAGAACTGACTACAAAATACTAAGCAGCAAAGAGCTTCTTGCAATTAACCAGAGTAAAAGTTTTATATTACATGAACAAGTTCCATTCTAAGCTGATAATACTGCTTGCTGGTGGGATGCCTTCTTGATTGATCGATTATTGTTTTATGCACGAGACTTAGATGGATGATTCCTTCTTTTGATTTGTATTCTGTCAACTTTAAATTTCTTTACTTTTCACTTCATCAGCATGTTTTTTGAATAAATAAAAAATTTTAACAAACAAATATTCTATTATCTAACGCAATAAATATATCAAAATACTTAAATGCCAGTATTAATAACATGTACATAAAAGATTCATGTTAGGCTTCACACGCCTACATATTTATCTTTTGTAAATATGCTAACAAGAAATGCAATTCTACTTCTAATAGAATTATTTATATCTGTGATATGATCAAATATATAAAATATACAATAAAATTTAATCTATTATATTTTAAATAAATTTACAACTACATGAATAGATATAAATTTACTAATTTCATTTACAATCGCGCGAAGCGCGAGTTATATCACTAGTATAGGTATAAAAAAGAGTTTAACAAAGAGTTTAACGTCTATAATTGACTGGTAAAGAGTATTTTATGGTATCAATTCACTTAAAAAGATACCTAGTCGGATACTTGTTTGTTACAATCGCAAAACCATATTGATATTGTAAGAAAAATTTATCTTACGGAAATGTACCCAAAAAAGATACTACTACTATTTATCAACAACTAGCCATTTTAGTTATATTACCAAAAAATAGCCAAAAAAATTATTAATGATATACAACATTCAAAAAACGTAGGCAAAAAAGATTTTTTTCCAATGGGTACTGTTGTGATTCGTTGAAAAAATATAGATAAGATAATATGCAAAATTTAAGGAAGTTTGAAGATGAATTAGACTTGTTTGTGGTCAGAATACATTACCAATAATATATAATATTAAAAACAATTAGGCAATTTTTTAAAATGGGTGTGGTTGGGATTCGTTGAAAATTTATAGATGATGCAATATTCAAAATTTGAACAAGATTGGAGGTGAATTGGACTGGTTTGGTATCAAAATTCGTAATTAAAATCGAGTTAAAAAAATTCTTTTGCGACACATGTATCAAACATTTATCACGCATATATCACACACACAAGTGTGTGTATATATATATATATATATATATGTGTGTGTGTGTGTGTGTGTGTGTGTGTGTGTGTGTGTGTGTGTGTGTGGATATACATGTGATACACATATGATACATAGGTGATACACAAATGATATACAATGTGATACACATATCATCTTTTTTTATGTCCATCTTCTACTTTGAATTTTCAATTCAAACCACCTCAAAACTAGATATACCAAATCATCTCATCCCAAAATTAAGATTCAAACTCCTTAAGATTTATACAATCTATTCCAATAACACTCACTCAAAAGAAAGCAAAAAATTTGAGTCATTTTTTGCTACAAATAGCTAATTGGCTAATATTGGTAGCATTTGACTTATATTGATAATATTTTACGAATTGACTAATTTTTATACTAATTTGCTTATGGGCAGACATAAATGGTAATTTTTCTAAATTAAATTATCAAGAAAATATTTAAGGGCCCAAATGATTGTGGGGGCCCATTATGAGAATGACACAATATTGTTAACTCCATCCTTAAACCATACAACGAGATTGCAAAATATCATTATATCCTTTGACTGATGGAGCATTTATTATATATCTAAATGTGGCGGCTATAGCCACTGGCTTCATCTTTCTTCTAACCTTAATACAACATGGTTAAATCTAACTAACTGGAATATTCACTTTTACTGATCCTTTCTCTTGGTCTAATACAAAGAAGCTTTACGTGTCAATATCATACGAGGATTTAATTTATATACTCGGATAGTTTAGATAACTTTTATAATATCAATGTATCAATAACATGTTGGAGCAGCTAACTCGCTATATTTTTAAGTTGTTAGTCTGTAGTTATCTTTTAAATGATCTTTCACTACTGTAAGAAAATTCTTTTACATTGATGAATTTAATTTATATACACTAAACGTATAAAGAATTTTCATAATGTTAGTGTAGTTTAACTTGTTGTAACAAATAATCTGTCTTATTTTTCAAGTTACTAATATCATTATTTATGTAAAGTTACGTGTAATTATCTTTTTAACTGAGTTTGCACTATCATCAACATATATGAGTTAAATCTATCATGAATTTACCTTATATACCCCCTTATATATACTAACAACACAAAGTACTTTAATCTCATTTCAACATTGCATTATCATTTCCCTTTTTGGGGAAGAGGGAAATGATAATAGAACCTATCATGTAAGGTTGCGTACAATTGAATTTAGTGGTCTGGCTCTTCCTTGGATCCTGCGCATAGCTGAAACTTAGTGCATCAGACTATTTTTTTTTTCTAATGTGTGAATTGTGTGCATGAGTGTGTGCATGTATGATAGAAAATTCCACCTTGAATTATCAACCAAAATCTCAAGAATTTAATAAGTACTTAATTACATGGGGTGTAATCCTTCAATGACAAGAATCTTTGGTGGTTTAATGAGCTCTGGAGGATCAAGAAGACCACTAACATGATTATAAATAGGTTTTTCCACAGCAATTCCACTCTTTAAAGCCTTAACTTGTTCATACATAAGATCAAAATCATTAGCTTTAGGATCAAGAGCAGTGACACCTCTCTCCTTTCTTCCAGTTCTATCAAGTGAGTGATAATCATCTAAACAAATCACAGTTGTCATATCAGAAATTAATGTGTTTGAATCTGGATTTCCACCTTTTGGTGGTTCAGCTGCTCCTCCAAAAACACTTGTTAATCTTCTCATAAATGTACTTTTACCACAGCCAGAATCAGCTGCTAAACCAATGACTACAGTCTTGGTTTCATCAGCTGATGAGCATGTTATAAAAGTGTTGAATTTTCTTGTAGAGTACTTTTTGGTACTTGTTGTGTAGAAAATAACTTGTTTTTGGTGAAATCCTAAGTTGGTTTTTGTTGATGTAGAGATTGAACAAGTTGAATTCAAGGATTGAATTTTGTATACTGTGCTAACTGCCATTTTTCTTTTCTGTTTTTTCTATGTTCTTCTCTTGGTTTCTTGAGAGTTTCCCAAGAGAGATAGAATGGAGTGGACTGTCTGAGTTCAAGTTAAGGTGATATGTAATGAATGAATGGACTTTGATTTTTATGTCTTTGTATTAAGAAAAAGTGTGAGGTACACAAAATGAAAGAAGAAAAGTTCATGGTTATGGTTAGAGAAAGAGATGGAAGTTTTGTTTTGGATAGGAAAGTGTTTTGATTTGATGAGGAAAAGGCTGATGTGTCACTTTTTGTTGCTGTCTATGATCACTATTTACACCCGGTGCACAAAGCATCCTTCATTTACGTAGGGTCCGGTAAAGCGCCACATCTCAAGGGAGTGTGATGTAGGCAGTCTACCCTAATATAAGTATCAGTGGCTAATTCCACGGTTCGAACACGTGACCTAAATGTCAATCAGAGACAACTTTACTATTGCTTCAAGGCTTCCCTTCAATATATAAGTGTAAAACAAGTATATTTCATGCACAAATTTATTATTTCACTATTGTTAAGTGATGTGTATTCTCAATTTATGTTTTAACTATTACGGTTAACTTCTTGTTTGATGTAAATATTGGATGAAGATAAGCTTTTATTGCATGTGACTAGTGACTACCCTTGGTTTTGGACAAGTTTGGAGGTAATTCTCAGGGTGGGAAGTAGAATTTTTCAACATTTTAAAGTATATTATGGTAAATGAAACTTAATCCTCGACAAAAGTTCTTGATTTGTTTTCTTTCTTTTTTTTTCTGTAAAAATGAAGAAATTAATGGTCAGGAGCATGTTATAAAAAAATGTTGCTTCTTTTGCTAGAGTACTTTTTGGTATTAGTGGTGTAGAAAACAATTTGTTTTTGGTGAAATCCTAAGAAGGTTTTTGTTGATGTGGAGATTGAACAAGTTTAATTCAAGGACTGAATGTGTGTGGTACACAACATTTTAAGGCTTAGATTAGTGGTGAAAGCATACCCCATGATAATATGAATTAAGTCTACAACATGAGTTTGAACTCTATTACATACAATTCAGATATTTAAATTGAGAAGGATAAAGAGACGAGCTAATTATCTACCGAATTTTAAATCATACGCCAACTGAGGGTAGGAGATTTCTCTATTACATAAAGAAAAGTGTGAGGCATACAAACTGAAAGATTTCTTGATACTTTATTTTCTTTTTTCCTGTTATAAATTGAAAATTTTAATGGTGACGAGATTGATAGTTTTGTGATAAATAAAGGAATGGAGAAGCTTTGGTTGTGAATTCCTACTATTTGGATATCTGCTATGACAGGTGGCAGCAGGATGATGGCTTGAGGTATGGGAGATATGGACATTGATAAGTAATCTCTGGCACTATATTGGACTATTTGTTTTTTAATTTACTAAAAGAAAATTACAAAACAAATATCACACGGAGATCAGTGTACCTAACTGCATGGCTGTTGTCAGCTCGTGTCATGAGATATTTGGTAGATTATCAGATTGTGTGCACTTTAACTGGATCATTGGATATCTGCTATCATCTATAAGTAAAAATACATCAAATAACTTTTATCTCTATGAGAATTTAAACTCGAGTCGCTATTTGTACTTTTTTCTATCTGTAAATTTAATAAGTCTAATGAAATTCATTTTTAAGGACCAAGAAACTTGTGTTCTTAAAACTATTTATGAAACAAGGAAAGGACTATTAGAATCATAATTGGAAGCAGAAAAAAAAGGTACCCTTGATTCAAGTATTTACCAACTTATATGATGCTTGTCCCTCAAAATTTGGGCAGATTAATAAAAAGCGATTGATTACTCGAATTGGTTCTCGCATCCATGTGCCCAAAGGATGGACGAGTTCAGTTTGAGAAAAAAAAAATTGATACAAGCTCAACATAATGCTAATTGCCAAGCAGAATTCAACCCCAAAGACTACAATACATGCTCAATAAGGCAGAGTAAGTTGATAGAATGCAATGGCAATTACATACATGGGCAATATTATGATATAACAAGAGTTCAAAAGAAATGAAAGTACTTATATCTCTCTCAATTGGAGTAACAATTTGTATGATCCTACAAAACATACAACTCTATCCCGCATACCACAACTCAGCCAAACAATATTTCCAGAGGTAAAGACACAAGCTTAGGTTCCTCGAGGGAAAAAAAACGAAAAAAATGCAGCTGAATTGAGGTCTTGAATCCAAAATCATGCTCACTTGTGCCCGCGAAAGTACAGGTAGACTTTCTGCAGTGACAGTACAGAAACATTGTGAGAAGCAAATGAAATTAACAAAGAAATAGTCAACAGCCAACAACATTTTTCCCCCTTCTAATCAATTGTCAAAGGACATAACTGCACATAATTGCATTGGGATTGGTAACAATTCATACGAGTATGAGCTATTGAACTAAGTTGGAAGCAGATCATTGACAATGTATGCTGGACTTGCACCTATATGAAGAACTTCGATTTGTATTCATGTTGTTTCGAAAAACAATGATGCACAAGTTGCCTGCTGCTGCAGAGAACTACAAATATTGAGTTTTTTTATAAGGACCTACAACTACAAATATTGAGTTTTTAAAGCAAACATCAGAATATGTAATTAAACATTACCAATTCTTGACACTAAGTTTCTTTTTACCCCCAGTTATTGTTGTATAGCAAATTAACTGGAACTAGCATCGTATCACTTTTCATTGTTATCAAGCATCTATAATGTCTAATTATCTAATACATTCAACAAGAGTTCAACAAAAGCCCCACCCTGCCATTTGCTATCTTGAGTTTCTGGATACATTAAACTCCTATACAAGTCGGGGCTTCCACTCCGTCCTAAGACTGATCAAAGAAGAGTGAGGAACCTCTCATTCGTTTTTGGAATTCGACAACAGAAAGGGATTTTACACCAACGACCGACGCCAACCACACACACACCAAAAAGAAGAGATGACCTCTTAATCATAGAAAGAACTCCCAAGAAAACCAACCTTCTCCATCCAGAGGAAATCGACTAGAATATGTTTAATGTGAAACTCTTTTTTCTTTATACTTCCAGATTGAAGTAAATTCCAAGAAACTTTTGGAATCAAACCCACAAGCCAAAGAAAGTTAGCAAGTGAAAAAGAAAAAAAGGTAAAAAGAAAGAAGGCCACTCGGAACAAACACAAAAAGAAGATTGTGGTCAAAGTTTACGAAGTTGATGTGCAGACAGTTGATTTGCAAAATAAGAATGCCAATTCTGTAAATGCTAACCTGCAATACCCACAAGCTTAGCAAAACTTCCAAGCAAAAAAGGCCAAATCCAATCAGATAAAAGATCTGCAAGAAAAGGAGAAGTGAGAACAACATCTTATAAAGAGAAGATCAGAAGCTTGATAAAAAGATATTATCACATAATCATATTTTTCTGTAGTTTCGAGTTTCAGTTATCTATAGAGAGTTCTACCCCTTTTAAATCAGTAAATACAACTACTGCGCGGTACATTACAAGTTAAAATCACTTTAAGGTTCAAGAAATGAAAGGCAGTAAAGTTGAAATCTATTTCAACCTGCTAAACTGATGATCAATGAGAAACCATAGGAAGAATTGCTCCATTTCCCAGTCATTTCCAAATACACAGGAACCAATTACCTTAATTTTGAGAATAAGCATAAAAAGATTGTCAAGCTGGCAAAACGATGAGGTGCTTTGAAGGCTGGTATGTGTTAAAGGAGTGGCAAGACCAAGGGCAAAATGTACATATACAAAGAGGAATAAGAACAAATGACAGGAATTGGTGAGGATCAGAAACAGCAGACTTAGAGGAGCCACTTGGTAATCAAACAGTGACTTGCCTTAAGTGGAATAATATACTTTTACCCTATTTGTTAGCATTTTAAACTGGACTAAATTAATGCTAATTTCTACCTATGTATGTAACTAGAGGCGACTGGCGAGGGATCATATAAGCCTTACAAGGTTTTATCATTTCATAAACATCCCTATATCAAGAAGTAGCAGCATGAGACTGATTCTCATGAAAAATATAATCAAAGAAGCACATAGAAATGTCAATAAATTGGTTCAATCTTTTAATCTCCCCCAAAAAAAGGAGTGAGAAGTAGATAACTTACCCCAACCAAGAGATGGTCAGAGAAGACATCAATTGCTGCAAGTATGCCCCTGGAATGAGTTAAAGAGGGAGCAGATATAAATGTCAATGATAATCCAAGAACGTTAAAACTGCTAGCACACCACATTGATTAGGATGCACCAATACTTCACATTTTCCATTTTCACGAACAGAGAAGAGCATCTCTACAATATGAATTTTAGACGAGAAAACAAGATAAACAAGAGAACCAAGAGTTACGTGTGTATGTATACAAGCAAGTGAATTCTACTAATTCCATATCAAGAACACATCTAAAGGAAGGGCAACCAGCAATCTAAGGGACCAGTGTTATAACATCCATCAAATGCAGGATCCATTAGTCATAAAAGTAAGCATGCTCTTCCTTTCAGAGCAGGCAGAGGTTTTTGGGTTTCATATTTCATTATTTATAAGTTTTACAGCACACACACTTCACCATGATAAGAACTCTAAACTTCAACTTTAGATGCCAGTATAATTTTCAACACTTATGTAAAATTTTAAAAATATTGTTGTGGGAAAGGTATATTCATAAAGGTACTAGCTAAGAATTATAACCTCATATACGAAACAGCTTACTAAAAGAAACACATTGACTAAGACTGTTGCATTTCATAGTACATAGTTCATCTCACTAAGAATCATAAAAGCAAAACTTACGTTAAGGATCTTCCATGAAAGAAAATGGGAGGAGCAATAGCAGCAAGTATGCAAAATCCGATGTGGAGCTACACATAAAAATAAATTTTACAGAAACTTAATCCTGGGATATAATTAGAAAACATATTATCACTTTGTCAGCATAACATACCATGTAGAACATGAAAAACCAACCAAATTTTAGT